CGAAAAAGGAGACAAAAGCCTGCTTCCAATCTCCTGACCCAAAGAAATTTCAGTTTCGTTAGTTGACATCTATTGGAGCAGGGTTGAACATTTCGGCCTCCGATGAATTTAGTCGTTTCGGGAGTTCGTATTTCTGGACACTCTGGCGGATTCTATTTGACACTCTTGTCATCCTCATAAACTTAGAGCAGGACTGATATCTTCCTGAGAACTTCTTGCAAGCAGCCCTACGTGATCTTCCAATCTACGAAGGGCTGACTCGTTTCACTCTATTCTTTATACGTTTGTTCTCGCTAAAACGTTCGTGCGATAAATTTAACAACGTTTATCGTTTGCAATCTAACATGGAAGTCCAAAATATTGCCTTCTATAACTGTGCAAAAGTTTTGGCGGGGCCAAGAATTGAACCACCTCACCCGGCAAAACCGGAAATCGAACCCAGTCACCATCGCCCAGTAAACTGCATCGTTACAATTGAGCCACTTTCACACGCTAAAACGGCCGACTTAAATTTTGTGATGGAATAGGAACTAGGAGTAATATACCCGACTGCAATTCCAGATATTCCATAAAAACGCCTCCCGCCAAAAGAACTAACGGTCTTTTACGTCTAAGGAATGTCCATCACGACGAGGAAGCCTGCATACCATACTGTACATTTCTTCACAAATTTTCGAATCTCGAAAAAGAGATTAATGGTCTGAAATTTGGTGCAGAAATGGATATGGTCCAATGAGTCCTTTAGGTCCCAAAAATGCAGGGGAATCTTAGGAAGAAAAAAAGGTCTCGAAACAGTCTAAAGGAAACCCTTTGCCGGAGGGCATATGCCAGAGTATGTGGTGGGGAACACCCGTTACAATGAAGGCCGGGTCTCGCCAACGCAACTAGCAATAAAGGTGAACGAGGCGAGATTGGGTGAAGCCAAGAACATGACGATGATGTGCACAAATTTACTGAGTCCATTCCAGAAATTGGATTAACTCAAACTAGCCGTGGATCATTTTCAATTTAACCTGATAGCTCTAACTGAAACCTGATTAAATGAGCTGATAGCAGATGCAGAAGTTAAACTGGAAGGATTTCAGCTTATCCGCATGGACCGAAACGGACGTAGGGGTGGGAGAATCGCAATGTTCATACGAGGTGGCATTTAATACGTCCCAGAAAGGTAATCATCACGCAGGCACAATTTCTGCGAAATAATTAGTTGTAAGTTGAGAGTACCAACCAACCTGACATCCATATTGCTCTGGTATACAAACCTCCAGGACAACGGACGGACGCGGAAGATACACTCATCACTGAGGTAAAACAAATCTGCCGTAGTAAAACTGTCTTAATACTTTGACGTTTTAACTCTCCAGACATTGATTGGGAAGTGATGCATAGCTCGCGATAAGGAAACTCGTTCGAACAGAAACCACTTCATTTGGAAAGTGACGAATTTCTTACCCAAAATGTCTCAATGGACACGCAGTTCCGAAGTGGACAACAGCCTAGCTGTCTGGATGATGAGATGAAAACTGGGGCCACGTTTCCTCCCTGAAAATGAAGGAACTCTTTGAGTTAGCCAACAAACTCACCTGTGTGACTATCCTTACAAGATCATAAATGAAGGCACTCGATTCGACACCCGAAAGTTACTTCCTCAGCCAACGAGTAGTACGACCTTGGAACGCGCTACCAAATGAGCGGATTTACGCCAACGCCATTGCAGATTTTCAATGAAGGCTTTCTGATACTATAGTTGACAAAAAGTGACTATCACAACATGATTTCTTATTGCCAACCTTGCACATATTTCCTAGCTACATTTTTTCATACTATTTCACATTGTTCCACGACTACTCATTCGAATCTACCTTATGTTAATTGTCTACAACTTCATATTGACTGTAAAAGGAATACGGTTACTTTACATTAGCATGGTTATCGATGACATTCCTTGCCTGTGACCCTTAATCTATTCAAAAAACATATACATATTATGAGTTTTGCTCTCGTTACTTGTGCTATAATTGCCAAAAGGGATAAAATGCCATCAGGTAACATTTTGGCTACAACTAGGAGATTGTCAGGGATAATTTATGCTTCACGTCTTTGCATAAAATAGGAGGTGCATGTGTTTCTACCGAACGCAATTTCCCCAATATTTTCACACAGGCAGAGGATATCATGACTTTCAACTAATTTTCGATAGACACTCAAACTTATTACAAACTGCTGGCTCTTTAAAGTTGGAATGCTTGGGCATTGGATGTTCAACAAAGAATCAGTGTTCAGTATAAGCATTGGGAGTAAACGGTTTATATAACCGATGAATTCTTAAACGCTATTTTCGGTGAAATCCGCACAATTGGGTGAGTTATACCCTCCATGATTGTCTGCTTTTACTAAATTAAAATTAAGGCGGAATTATTAACAAGCAAGAATTGCTGTCTTTACTGCGCAATTAGAACTGTCATGTATTCCTCAGGAGTAACGGCGATAGTAAATTCGCACGGGAATGCTATCAAATTATTTTACTTTGGTTTATGCGGG